CTACTTACCTTTACTCTTTTCTCTCCTAAGCTCCAAGGGTCTTTTCTTTTGCCTCTAGAAGTAACTTGTTTCCTGAGCCCACTTTTTTCTATAGGTCACTTCTACTTCTGTGACTTTATAAATAAAATAAAGAAAAATATGATTTGAGAGAGGGAGGGAAAAACATCAGTCATTTGCCTCCCAACCAGGGATTGAACCCACAACCTTTTGCCTTTTGGTGTATGGGATGACGCTCCAACCAACTGAGCCACCCAGTCAGGGCTAAATCTCTCCTTTTCAAAGCCAGGTGTTTGTCTCTGCTCTAGTACTTTCCGCCTAATCTTGACCTTTATAGCCTCCTATCCACTGCTGAAACTCTTCCTCATTGATCTTAGGTCCTCATGGCCTTTGACATCTCAGCCTTTGATACTGCTTCTAAACTTTCATATTTTCCCTTGGTTTCCAGGGTGTTAGGGGGAACTTGAATTTGAATCCTGCTTCTGCCACTTAAAATTCATGTGATACTGTCCCTCTCTGTAAGGAGGGGCAACAACTGGGGCAGCTCTGTAAATTTTAAGTATATGGAAATATAAGCTATGGTATTATATCCCTTACCTTTTTTTTACTTCCACAAGTACAATCCTGATCTTCTCTACCATGGTTTGCAAAAGGCGGTCCATATGCTGAATGTGGCCTGCTAGGTCCTCACAAATTTTAAAATTTTGGGGAGTTCACATTAAAAATATATGCCTTTAGCTCCACTGTGGCTTAGTTGGTTGGTCATGGTCCCATGTACCAAAAGGTTGCTGGTTTGATTCCCGGTCAGGGAATGTGCCTTTTTGAGGACTCTCTCTCCCTTTCCCTTCCTCTCTTTCTAAAAGCCAATAAAAAAATCTTAAACGCACACACGCACGCCTCTAGTTCAAACCTCTGCCTCGAACTCAAGACTTAGTGACGACCTTCCCTTCCCTACTTTCTACTTCCTTTCCTCTTTGATTTTTCTCCCTGGCACTTTTTACTCTCTAATATATACTGCTTTTCCTCTGGTTTTCCTTTCCCTCACCAACTAGAATATAAACTCCAAGAAGCTGGCATTTTTTGGTATGTTTTATTGAAGGCTAAACCCCAGATCAGAACGGTGCCTACTGGCACATTGTAAGTGCTCAACAGATACTTGTTGACTGGATGAAAAATACATTAAATTGAAATTTCTTGTTTTTCTTGAAAAACCAGAATCTATAACTTTGGGTTTGTACTCCCAACTGGCTACAGGTGGCTTGAGGTGAGGAGCTGTGGCCATTCAGAAGGTACAGGGGCTCCTCAGTTTGCTGTAGACCACGTCTTCCCATATTGTTTTACACCTGGCCTGGGGGGGGCAAGAAAAGGGCACTTGTGCCCTAACCGGTTTGTCGCAGTGGATAGAGCATCCTGCGGACTGAAGGGTCCCAGGTTTGATGCCAGTCAAGGGCATGTACCTTGGTTGTGGGCACATCCCCAGTGGGGGGTGTGCAGGAGGCAGCTAGCTGATCAATGTTTCTCTCTCATCGATGTTTCTAACTCTCTATCCCTCTCCCTCTATAAAAAAATCAATAAAATATTTTTTTAAAGAAAGAAAAGGGCAGTTGTTCCCACAGGCAGAGGTGGGGCAATCAAAGAAGGGGTGTGGGGCCTTAAAGCATAAAATGAGACTGAGGCAAGGGTATGGCAAGCAGAGGAAATAAGATGTGCCAGTGACAGTGTATAAAAGGGCACGATGGACCCAGGATTGCAAGTGATTGGTGACAGTCACAGAAGCTGGTAGTGAAGTGGGCTGTGAAGTATAGCTGTGTCCTGTAGGGTAGGCCCAGGGAACCTTCAAATTTATTTTTAATATTATTAGATTTTCCTAAATAAGGAAGGGTATAATTAAAACAAAAATGGCCCATAATCTCCTTTCCCAAATAACCCCTGTAGACATTATTTAAAAATGTCTAATGTGTTAGAAAATTCAGAGATTCAAAATGAAAGTAAAAGTCACCTTTCCTGTTCATCTTCCCAAAGTTAATGGCTGCCAACAATTTAAGTACTTTGAGGGGGAAAAAATCTTATGCCTCTACTAATACTTAGATTTATATAGAGAGTGTCCCAAAAATGTATACACATTAACAGCTGATAGCTCAATTGATGTTCTTTCTTTCAGATTTAATCTATTGGAGTGAATTATTCAAAGTGAATACATTTTTTGGGACACCCTGTATTTCCAAAGGTTTATTTTTTTTAAACAAAAATATGTGCTTTTTTTGGGGGGAAAATTCAAATAATACAAGAAGCATATAAAGTAAGAGCTAAAGCCCCTTTTTCCTCTTTCCCCTTAATCCCCAAAGATAGTCATTAGAAGAAACAATTGGTCTTTCAGATTTTGTTTGCAAATATATACATATAAGGCATTTTTGTTTGTTCAAATGTGAATTTATACGTTGCGCTTGTTAGTTACTGTATAGCATGGACATCAGAGCTCCCTCATTCTTTTTAAAAGTTGTATTTGTTTACTTTAATCAATCCTTATTGATGGACATCTCTTGCATGGACTCTACTTTTCCTCAGTAGAGGAAAAGGACTAGCAAGTTTAGTGTGGAGTTTCTTACTAATTGTTTGAGAGGAATTTAATGCAAGTGAATTAGAAGTACAAGTTGTAGGAGCTGTAGACTGCCTTGGGACAGGTCACAAGTGGGGTGTTTGGAGTGCACTGCTTTGGGGATGGTTCTCAGGGAAGATTTATGGAGCATTCTTACACCAGGCTGGGATTAGACTAGATCTGAGTGTCACAGCAAATTAATATTGTGAGCAAGTAATTTAGCTTATTTCTTGTGGACTCTGTAATGGCTGCATGTGGAGAGGAAGAGAAGAAAGGGGCTGAGACTTTACTTTCATCTCTGAGGAGATTTGGGGTGAGGGGCTAGGTCTCTTGATTGACCCTGGAACCAAGGTACCTTTCAAAACCAAGGTTTTGATTTGGGGGAAGGATTTTGCAGAGAACTTCAAGGATGCTGGGGGTATAGTGGAAAGCACACTGCCCTCAGGAGTCAGAAGATTGGCGTTCACTCTTCACAGGGCCCGTGGTTCCCTCACTCTTCGTTGTGGGATTGGGTCATCTGGTTTCTGGGGACCTTTCCAGTACAAAAATGTTAAACTTTTGTTTTGCCTGGGTATGTTCTGAAGTATGTGGTAGTCCTTGCTCTTAAGGAGCTAGTGTTAGTAGACTGTTCTCTCAGCTCATTCCTTCCTACTGCAGTATGCAGATGCTGTCTGATAAGTGTGAGAAAGTGAACATTAAGAAATAGCAGCACACTGGTGTGGCTCAGTTGGAGTGTCAACCTGTGCACCAAAAGGTGGCAGGTTCGATTCCCGGTCAGGGCACGTACCCGGGTTGCAGGTTTGATCTCTGGTTGGAGTGTGTGTGGGAGGCAACCAATCGATATTTCACACTCACAATGTCACTCCCCTCCCTCCACTCCTCCCCCTCCCCCTCCCATTAATATAAAAGCATGTCCTCTCCCTCTCCCTCTTCCTCTCCCTCTCCCCCTCCCCCTCCCCTTCCCATCAATAGAAAAGCATGTCCTTGAGTGAGGATTAAAAAAAGAGAAAAAGAAATAGCGGCAGTTCAGTCCCTTTTACAGTGGATGGGATGGAAACTATCATTCGAAGAGAATCTTTGTCTTGGCCACTATCACTTTCCCTTTGATTGGTGGAGTGCCACTGGTGTTTAATTTGCCAAGTGCTTCATGTATGAACTGATCTTTTCATGATCTGTGCTTTCTTCCAGGTTAATTCCAAAGATAGTTCTCGTAATTCCACGAACTCTGAGTTTGCAGCTGAAGCTGAGGGTCAAAATGATAAAATTGAGGAACCAAGCAAGGTTCAGAAAAAGAAGAGGGATAGACTTCGAGACCAAGGCTCTACAATGATCTACCTGAAGGCTATCCAGGGCATTCTGGGAAAGTCAATGCCAAAAAGGAAGGGCGAGACTGCCACTACGGCAAAACCAAACACAGGAGATCGTCCCAACCGTGGAGAAGGACCAGCCAGGAGTGTCACTGTGTCTACTCCTCAGAAAGAGAAGGAGGCAACCCCAGAGGTCAGAGTGAAAGAGGAAAAAAAGGCTGTGCTGGAGAGAAGCAGCTTCTGTGACAGGAGAGTGGTGATAGACCCTCAGGAGAAACCCAGTGAGGAGCCACTTGGTGACCGAAGGACAGTTATTGACAAGCGCTCTCCACCCCTAGAATTTTTGGATGATTCTGACTCTCATTCAGAAAGCCACAAGGTGAGTCTTGCTCATGCCGAGAATGGGGGTTTTTAGTTCTCTTGATTAAATGTGGTATTTGCTCTTTCTGGTTTGGGCCTAATTGTTATTCATTAAAGCAGTGCTTTACTTACTCAGGATTCCAGGCAACAAATTGATGGTTCTCTTCCAAAATACCTTTTAGAGTTATTAAGAAATCTCAGATTAGTGCTATCTTCTGTTTTTGGAATTTATATGTTTGTTAGGATATGGATTTGCCTGCTGTACAAAACCCAAAATAACAGTGGCTTAAATTAAATAGAAGTTTGGCTTGAGGAGGATGACTCTACCGAGTCAGAGATCCTGATGCCTTCTGTCTTGATGCTCTGCTGCTCCTCAGCAGTTTCCGTCCTGTGGTCTGAGATGACTGCTCTGAAAGGACTCAGTACATTACATTGATCAGTCCAGCTAAGAGGAAGAATAGAAGAAGAAAGTACACTCCCTCCCTTTTAAGAGCTTGGCTCAGAAGTTGTCCACATAGTATCTGCTCATCTCTACTGACAAAAATCTAGAAACCTGGCCAACACCTAACTGCAAGAGAGTCTGGAGAATTAACTTCCATTTGGGCAGACTTACACCCAGATAAACTTTTATTGCTGTTAAGAAGGAGAGAGTGAGCCATGGCTGGGTGGCTCAGCCATGGAGCATTGTCCTGTACACCAAAAGGTTTTGGGTTCAATTCCCGGTCAGGGCACATTCTTAAGTTGCAGGTTTGATCCTTAGGTTGTGGGTTTGAGTCTTAGATTGGGGTGTGTATGGGAGGCAACCCATTGATGTTTCTCTCACATTGATGTTTTTCTCTCCCGCTCTAAAAATCAATAAAAACATATCCTCAGGTGAGGATTAAAAAAAAAAAAAAAAGCCCTGTCTGGTGTGGCTTGGTTGGTTGGAGTATAGTCCCATGCATTGGAAGGTCATGGGTTCAATTCCTTGTCAGGGCACATACCTAGGTTGTGGATTTGATCCTCAGTCAGGCATTGAAGTTTCTCTCTCCCCCTTCCTCCCTCTCTAAAAATAATTAAAAAAAAAAAAAGTTCACTCACACATTGGGCAGTTGATGCTGGTACCTATGTATGACCCTCTCTAGCAGTGGTCTTGGGCAGTATGATTTCTTTTCTTTTTTTAAAAAAATATATTTTATTGATTTTTTACAGAGAGGAAGGGAGTGGGATAGAGAGTTAGAAACATCCATGAGAGAGAAACATCGATCAGCTGCCTCCTGCACACTCCCTACTGGGGATGTGCCCACAACCAAGGTACATGCCCTTGATCATAATCGAACCTGGGACCCTTCCCAGGCCGACACGCTATCCACTGAGCCAAACCGGTTAGGGCGGGCAGTATGATTTCTTATGTGGTGATTGACTTCCCCCAGAGGAGCAAGCTGAGAGATACCAGGGGAAGCTACAGCTTGACCTACCCTTGGAGGTTTCACTACTGCACTCCGTTGGTTACAAGTAAGTCAGTAAGGCCCAGGTTCAAGGACAGACCACCATCTTTCAATGGGAAGTAGTGTCAGAATTTGCAGACACATCTTAAAACTGCCACAACTGAAATTCTGATCAGGTAGCTCAGTCGGGTAGAGCATCGTCCTGATATGCCAAGGTTGCATGTTTGATCTTTAGTCAGGGCACATATAAGAATCAACCAATGAATGCATAAATAAGTGGAACAACAAGTTGATTTTTTTTCTCTCTCCCTTTCTGTCTCTCAAATCAATTAAAAAATGTTAAAAACAAACAAACACAAAAATGGCCCTAGCTGGTATGGCTCAGTTGGTTGGAGCGTTGTCCCATAGGCCAAAAGGTGGTGGGTTCAATTCCTGGTCAGGGCACATTCCCAGGTTGCAGGTTCAACTGTGTGGTTTTGCATTTTGAATGTATTAGAAATGTGTTGTTAGAGATGAGATTCCTGGCACTGTTTTTTTCTAATATCCCCAATACACAGAGCAGTTTTTCTTAAGAGGGATCATTCAGAAAGAGTGCAGATACAGCATCCCCTTTAGGGATGGCATTATGAGTTTATCCCTGATTTGACTGTTCATAGCTATAACCTGGCTCACTTTCTGGAAATAATAAGAAATCTAGGTGACAGGTAAGTTAAATGAGCCAATGCAAAACCTTCACCATGGCCAAAAAACAAGCCAGAGCTTATGTTCTCTAAATGACAGAGTGTGGGAGGCTGTCTTCACACAGGAAGGCTAACCCTTTGTTGCTTCTTTTCTGCAGCCTAAAGAAAGGGAGGTGGTGATAGAGCACACCTCTTCAGGAAGTGACTGGTCCGACGTGGATGAGGTCTCCACAGTCAGATTCTCTCAGGAGGAGCCCATCTCACTGAAGCTCTCAGCAGTTCCAGAGCCTTCTGCCTTCCCCACTGACTATGTCATGTACCCGGCTCACTTGTACAGTAGTCCTTGGTGTGATTTTGCCAGCTATTGGGCCAACAGTCGCAAGCCTTCTAGCTACCCCTCCATGAGCAGCAGCAGCAGTGACACATTGCAGGCTGGGAAGAGCAGCCGGGGCCTCCTGAGTGATTATTCCCCCAACTCTACAGTGAGCTCCCAAAACACCTCTAGAGATTTGGAGGCGACAGAGGAAGGCAGATCCCAGAATTCTCGCTCATATAATTTCTCCAGAAGCTTACAAGACAAGGTGAAGGAGAAAAGAACATTCCAGGAGGAGACGCCACCCCGTTCTTATGAAGGACATGCATCTAGCTCTCTGCCAAGGAGCCATCTAGAGCCAAACCTAGAGGAGGGTTTCATTGATACCCATTGTCACTTGGACATGCTCTATTCCAAGTTGTCTTTCAAAGGGACCTTTAGCAAGTTCAGGAGAATTTATAGCACCTCCTTCCCTAAGGAATTTCAGGGCTGCATCTCTGACTTCTGTGATCCCAGGACACTGACAGATTCCCTATGGGAGGATTTGTTGAAAGAGGATCTGGTTTGGGGGGCCTTTGGCTGTCACCCTCATTTTGCTCGTTACTACACTGAGAGTCAAGAAAGAAATCTTTTGCAAGCCTTAAGGCATCCCAAGGCCGTGGCATTTGGGGAAATGGGCTTGGATTACTCTTACAAATGCACCACACCTGTCCCAGAACAGCACAAGGTAATGGGGTTCTCTTTAGTTTGCTTATAATTTTGTGGTGTTTTTTTAAGTTCTTAGTTTATTAATCCTCTCATGAAAAATCTATACAGATAAAGCCACTGAAGAATCTTTGCTATTTTTGCCAGCACCAACATTGGCCTTTGCAGTTCCCCTGACTTTCTTCCATTCTGTTCTTGAAGTCTCATATGGGCTTTTCTTGCAAATCTATGTTTGGGTTCTTTTTTTTTTATTTTTTGCATAATACAAGGAATCATAAATCATGCCAAAGCCACTTGTCTTGCCACTGCCAAAGTGGTTTTTTCTTTTTTATAAATGGATTGATATCTTTAGAGTTATTAACTTCTTTGGGATTTTTAAAAATATATATATTTTATTGATTTTTTACAGAGAGGAAGGGAGAGGGATAGAGAGTCAGAAACATCGATGAGAGAAACATCGATCAGCTGCCTCCTGCACACCCCCCACTGGGGATGTGCCCGCAACTAAGGTACATGCCCTTGACTGGAATCAAACCTGGGACCTTTCAGTCCACAGGCTGACGCTCTATCCACTGAGCCAAACCGGTTATGGCTGCCAAAGTGGGTTTTGAATCCAAATACAAAGATGATATTTGGTGTGATCTTAGACATTTTGGCTAGTTTTTCCCAAATTTCTGTCTTAAGTACTGCTGCCTTCCTTGGGTGAAGAATGTCAGTGACCATTGGTTTACACTAAAGTAGTCTATTGGTCATGAACTTCCTGGTCAGATAGTTACTATGTTATGATGGCAACCAGCTTGCTTACAATTGTAATTAATTAATTTAAACCCTCACCCCAGGATATGTTTTATTTATTTTTTTAGAGAGGAAGGGGAAGAGAGGGAGCAGAGAGAGAGAGAGAGAGAGAAATGATCAGTTGACTCCCGTACTCACCCTCACTGGGGATCAAACCCACAACCTAGGTATGTGCCCTGATGATGCCCAACCAACTGAGCCACTTGGCCAGGGCCACTTGTTTACAGTGTTAATTCTTCTTTTAGTTGTTGAAATCTAACCATAGGGTTTTTCTACTTGGCGGGGAGGGGGGTGTCTTTTTAGAACTAAAGAATTTAGAATTTCTAAAAATGCAATTGCTCTTATCCAGACCATCTATATGTCATTTCTCAAATTCTTCACAAGCTATTTCTTTCAGGTTTACTATATAAGGGGATGGGGGAAATTGATAGGTACTTTGTGACTTATGGCTAATGATATGTATCAAAACATTTATTTTCTTTCTTGGGAAGCAACAAATTTTGTTTAATTTTTTTTAAAAATATTTTTTTATTCATTTCAGAGAGGAAGGGAAGAGGGAGAGAGAGAAACATCAATGATGAGAGAGAATCATTGATCAGCTGCCTCCTGCACGACCCCTACTGGGGATTGAGCCTGCAACCTAGGCATATGCCCTTGCCTAGAATCGAACCTGGGACCCTTCAGTCTGCAGGCCGACACTATCCACTGAGCCAAACCAGTTAGGACATGTTTAATTTATTTTTATTCTGATTTTAAAGTTAAGTATGCCCAATTGTAGAATATTTGGAAAATACAAAAATGTATAAAGGTGACAATTTCCCATTCTACTAGAGATAACAACTATTACCATTTTAATATTTTTTACTCCCATTATCTTTTTAGCGTGGAGATTTGGCAGGGTATGAGTAGTTTCTGATTTAGACAGGAGCAGGAAAAGGAGAAAGACCCTCATACTATGCATGTTGCCAGGTTGAATTTGTTGTGTGCTGCCTTTCTGTTGATGCCTGTTAAGTCTGGGTCTGCATGCCCAATATGCTCAGGCCTTGGTGAACGTGTATGGATTCCAGCCTGGGCAAATTTGATACCAGCTTTCTCTTTGGTGCTGTCCCCAATCTAACTGGGGGCATCCTCAGCAGCGCACTGATGCTGTGCACCATTGATACTGGCATCTGAATTAAAAGAAGGAATTTTCAGAGTCAGTGGTTTCTTAATTTTCTTTTGATCAAAGAAAAAAAAATTCAAGGAAGGTATGGTGCCCTTCTGCTCTAGCAGAAGACTAGACCTTTGTACACTTTTAGGAGATAGAGATTTCAGTTTGAATACAGTTGTCCATGACAGCCAGTAAGCATGCAAGGCTTAACAGTTAATTTCTATAAGAAACAACTTAACACATTGCGTACCGCTCAGGAGTTTTCTCGTGTTTTGCGCGCCATCTGTTAAGGACCGCTCATGAGTGTTCTCGTTTTTCACGCGCCATCTGTTATGGACCTTAGATGTCAACACACTGTCTTGTCCACTGTGGGGCGCGGTTACAGTGTTTTGGCCAGGTTCAAGTGTCCTCTGTGGGGCGCGGTTACAGTGTTTTGGCCAGGTTCAAGCCTCGGACTAATGAAAGGACAGGGTCCTCTCACTGCCAAGTGCAAGTCCCAGCTGGAGGGCAGGGCCCTCCCAGCACAATCATAGCCAACGGCTGTGGTTGTAAGCTTGAACCTATGGTCCGAACATTAGCCCCATGTGCCTTGTGATAGAGTTTAGGTGCATGTAGTTGAGTAGGGTTGAGACTCACGAGAATGCTGTAAACAACGTGATCATGCCCCTACTTTGCCTCATGGCATCTGCTATAAAATAAAGACACGGCTTGTGGGCGCTGGCGTT